GTGTGTGTGTGTGTGTGTGTGTGTGTGTGTGTGTGTGTGTGTGTGTGAGTGTGTGTGTGTGTGTGAGTCTGCGCGCGCGCGCGTGTGTATGTGCGTGCTTGCGTGTGTGTGTGAATGCGTGCATGCGTGTACGCGCGCGCGCCCGCGTGTGTATATGTAATCCATTGACGTCGCAACTTTGCAAAACAATGTGCGATATAAAATGCAAAGAATTTCCTGTTTTTGACGTTATAGGTATTAGCACTAGCATGTGCTAAATAGCTTATATGGTTATAATATGATTATATATGCTCTAGTAAGTGCAAGCCTTTGACACTATTCCGCAAGGGATCAGGGCATAACGAATCTTAACCTTAAGCAGACTCTAATTGCTCATTGTTGAATATAACTTATGTATGTATATATAATAGATTAATGTCTCTCATATCTAGACCGTTTAATAAACTATTCCTACATGATTATACATATTTTGTCGAATCATTTTGGGGGTCGCATCTCTTTTTCTATTGAGACAGATAAGAATTTTACCTAATTTGGCGCAAACGAGAATATGTTGGCCCAGTGTTATAGCAGTTTATCACAAGTCTTCGACGTGGCCCACCGTTATAATTCATAAACATAACCATATACCGCTGAGTATGGTGGCCCAGTGTTATAATAGTTTATCACAAGTCTTCGATGTGGCCCACTGTTATAATACATAAACATAACCATATACCACTGAGTATGGTGGCCCAGTGTTATAATAGTTTATCACAAGTCTTCGATGTGGCCCACTGTTATAATACATAAACATAACCATTTACCATACACATGTTCATAGACCATACACCATAGACCATATACACGTCGAAGACTTGTGATAAACTATTATAACATTGGGCCACCATACTCAGCGGTATATGGTTATGTTTATGTATTATAACAGTGGGCCACGTCGAAGACTTGTGATAAACTATTATAACACTGGGCCACCATAATCAGTGGTATATGGTTATGTTTATGTATTATAACAGTGGGCCATGTCGAAGACTTGTGATAAACTATTATAACACTGGGCCACCATACTAGAGCCATTATTGAACATTCTTAGTGTGATGAAAATGACAAGCTGCTTCATTATTGTCGCGCAAAATAGAGTCGTATGACTAGTAAATGTAAATTATTTTAAACTGAATTTAATAAACAATAGAGAAAAATCATTCCTTCAGCATAATACTATATCATATACGATATTATGCCTCCTTCAGACAACTAATCTCTCTTCATTATGCTGATATATTAACTATATTATCTTGCATTAGCACATGTTCGAAGACGAAATTTTAGTTCTCATAACATTACGACCGGTTACGATGATAACGAGTCAACGACCAATAGGTGGCGCGACGTCGCAGTGTTCGTGGCGGGTGAGTTGGCAGCACTGAGCTGTATATAATAATTATGTTAATAATTAAATGCTTTGAAATTCTCGGGGCACTAACATTTTGCGATATTATTATATTGAAACTATTTACCGGATTCTTCGAATACCAGTTATGAGCGTTCTATGTAAATGTCATTATATTTGTCTATGGTAATGATAATATGGTAGAGCATGTAGCAGGTACTTTCAAGCGGATATATGGCCGTGCAAACCAATACGAAACATAAGAATAAACGAGGATAACATTACGGCGTCGTTCGATAATCGAGCCCATAGTTTTTATCTCAAATACGTAATTTCACTATCTTTCGATGAGAGATATATAGCGTTCCACAGGTCTTCTCACCATATTAGCAGACCAACTGCAAAGTGTGAGCAGTTGATCTACGAATCGCAAGTATTGCGCAGGTGGAGACGTCACGTGGAGAC